CTCATCTAGTAGTTCTTGGAAAGTATTCCGAATAGGAAATACTAAGACAACTTTATAATTATTCTTGATTTGTAAATACATATTGTTTGTATCTTTGTAGAGTTTTGAGATATCTAAGTATATAATCGAGTATCCAATAAAGTAAAACATTCAGTGAATGTCTACTAGAAATATCTACTCAATTTTATAGTTGTTTCAATACTTTTCCAGTAGAAATTTTTCCCGATATAGTAATTATAATAAGATGTCTAGTATCTTCGAAAGTTATATGTTGCTGTTTCTTTTATATGGAATTAATAACACAACATCATCTAGATAAAGTAAAAGAAAATTTCTAATAGAAAAGAAAAGGTTGAATAAAAGTTTATAGAAGAAGTTACACAATTGAAAAAGACATGTGCAGTAAATAATTTTCTCGTATTTGTATAAAAATGGTTGTCTTTCATATGATAATTGGAAAGAAATATGCATGTCAAATAAAGAACTGTGATGACGAAAAAGCGATTCTTTTTTTTCATAAAATGTTTTTGTTTTAGAGTTCTGAGAAAAGTAATCAATCATTTATTAGTTCATTTTTATTATAATCGATGTTACAAAATACTAGATCTTCGAATATTAATGAATCTTCTCGGTTTACTTCTACAAAATGCATTTCAATGAAATAATGATTTTTCTGATAAAACAAAAATCTACTTTATCTTGTTTAACAAATAAATATAAATAAGAATCAAATTGCTTTGTTACCTAAATATGTTATTATAATAATATAAATGTCTCATTATAAGAGAGAGAAACTAAAAAAAAAGAATATATGACTGTCCTTTACTCAATAAAACATTATTTGGTTGGGACTCTATTTTTTTCGACCCAAAGTACAATTTAATATGATCTGATGTGCCTTTTCACGAACAATTTGAATATGATCTTGAATTTTATTTTTGATCTTGTCTTTAGTGATCTAACCTATCAAAAAGAATTTTTTTGAACTATTAAAAAAAAAGCCGTTTTTTGAGATTTTTTGCTTGAAGTATTTAGGGTCTATTTCTATCGAAAGAAAAACTTTTTTTTATCAAATTACTTAGAATTAAAAGCTCTATAAACGCTGACAACTTCATCTTAAGGGTGAGGGTGAGTAAATATATTAGAAATGATTCGTAGGAGTACTGATATAAGTGTTCAATAATAAAATCTCTTGAGAAATTTTATGTGATCTCTTGTTCAAGTAGTTGAATAATCAGATTATAAAGTTGCAGATACTGTATGAATAAGTTCATCATCAGGATAATTAACTTCATCTTATAAGGACTATTGTTCTTTACCTGTTGATCATTTGCAACATCAGATTGTTCTTCAAGACGAACATATTGATCAGATGTTGGATTATCATCCTTTTCAACAGAAAAAGCAAAATCAATTGAAAACATAGGTTTTATTTGATTACTTCTGTAATTTCTTTTAATGATTCATCGAGAGCACGTTCATCAGGTGGTGTCATTAATTGGATCAGCTCCTCGGGCGTTTTTCCATGATGCATCATCATTAGGGGTGTCAGCGTTCCCCGTTCCTCAGCATTCCGTTCCTAGGAATGGGAACGCTTGTCAAAATCGCATTTCACGCTATATTTCAAAATGGCGAGGTCTCTAGACATATTCACTTTTCTTTTTATGTTTGAGTGTTCAGCGTTCCCCGTTTCCAGGAACGGGAACGGGGTAGCGTTCCCCATTCCTAGGAACGGAATGCTGAGGAACGGGGCACGTTGACATCCCTAATTTTTATGAAATTGGCTTTCCTTCGGTGAATTAGTAAGATTTCTGTTAAAAGTGAAAGAAACGTATGTTGCGTTCCAGTTTCTAGGAACGGAACGCTGAGGAACGGGGTAGCGTTCTCCGTTCCCAAGAACGGGAACGGGATAGCGTTCCCCGTTCCCTGGAACGGGAACGGAGTAGCGTTCCCCGTTCCTAGGAACGGGAACGGGGTAGCGTTCCCCGTTCCTAGGAACGGAACGCAAAGTTGACACCCCTAATCATCATGTGTACGGCCCAACGGATTGTACTTGTTGACATTGAAATAGAACACGTAGAACATAATATCAGATCACGATCATCTGTCAGACAAATAAAATAAATAAGATAATAAATTTGAAAAAATGAGACAAAATATTTTGTTATATGGTTATTCATCAGGGTATTTCTCAAATGACAATGAGATGTTGAAATGATGACTTTTTTCTTTTTATATAAAGGTATAGAGCATTCATTTGTCTGTCAAAGTATGGATTTCCCATGAGATTTCGTTTCGATCTTAGTCAAACTAATTTTGAGGAATCTTAAAAAATCCATTTTCCTTATACTTGAACATGTTTTCTGTCGGCTTTTATAGGTAAATCTCAAGTTATATAGAAGTTATAAAACAAGAATCAAATCAATAAAAACTTACAATCCCTTGGTGGTACAAAGTTATCTAAACGTTGTAAAAATTCTGACTTTCCAGATGCCATTTATATAACTAAAAAAAAATGAAAAAGAAATTTCTCATTAAAAGTAAACAATGGGGAAAAAATCTTTTTTCTCTGAAAAAGCAATGTTACGACTCTGTTTTTTTCAGGCAACTCAATTGAAAAAATATTAACAATTAAACATATTATTAACAAAGACAAAATGGGATTTATCAGTATTAAATCATCATCACAATTACTTAAAGAAGAAGATACAAAATATATGAAATAATAAATTAAAACAAAACATATTTATCTATGTTATACATTATTTAAAAAATAATTTGTTGAAAAAAATAAAACAAAAAGTTTTGATAAAACAATAGCAATTGTTGATGACATAAATGATATCAATGGTGATAATAATTGAGAAACTAAAAACAAAAAAACTTTTTACATAGAGAAAATAAATAATGACCAAAAATATCGATCTACCATTAAGTGCTTGTGCATGACAAAGTATTGTAAATATAAAACAAATTAGAACAGCATAATAATCACGTTGATCAGGACTCCATATAAGTAATGGTAAGACAAATAATTGACCAATACTTGAAAGAACAAGTGCACGAAAGAGAAGTATCAATCTAAAGAACAATAGAAAAATCAAATGTATATGTGAAAGCTCTTTGTTCTTTATATTGAAAACTTAGGCATAATAAATGTCAAACAAAACTTTTACAAATTCGAATGATTGATGATCATCCAGTAGGAGCATTTTTTCATTCGACCTTTCATATATATATATGTATATAGCTATGATAGTACATTTCATTGTATAAAGATAAACAACCATCAAACTTAGTATGAAAAATGTATTCTTCACTCTTTTTTTGCATGAAATTGTTTTGTTTTAACTCATACATACTTTTCTTTGGTCCATTTTTGTCCACATTGAAGGATTGCTATGAATAATATAAATCCAAATCATATTGTATATTCTATAAAAATAAAAAAAAGCTTCTGATAAATAGATAATTATATAATTTCTTACCAAGAAATGATTCGATTAATTTTACATAAAAACCATATTCAAGTGCAAAAAAAACTATGATGATCATGATTAATAATTGATTGAAATTGATCATTTTTAAGATGAAACCATTTAACATATGCATTAGCAAGAATAAATGCACAAGATAATTTAATAATATGCTATAAAAAAAAACCGAGTTTACTTCGATTCTATCAAAATTTTCTTTTTGTTTTTTTTTAGTTGAAAATGTTTCATACATTATATTTAATTTTATCAATATTAACCCTCGAACGCTTTTTGTGGGTCCAAGCGGACCCGCAACGCTGTTTTTCATTTCCTGTTTCGTAAATAATTATCCTTTTTCTAGCGATCTCTTTTCTAATCGTTGGCCTCCTAACGATGCACAAAAGGCACATCAAGTTTTGTGAATAGGTCTTACACAGAAAAAATTGAAGGGTGGGTCCAAGCGGACCCGCTAACAACCTTGGTGTTATACGAATGATTTCTATTCTTGTTAGGCCTGCCATCTTTCGTCTCGAGAGTTAATTTTCCAAAACATTCGTTAGTTCATCTCTGCCAATAGTAACACGTTCATTCTTTTCATCCTTTCTGACAGATTTTGTTATATTCTGGTCGAAACAATTCTTTTGTCGCTTCTAGTCACGACAATCATTCTGGTTCGTCTCTATTGAAAATAACTGAACCTAAAAAGTTCAACAGTTCTCCAAGAACGAAAAATTTTAAATTTTCTTAGTCTTTCAGATAAAAAATGACCACCAAAACAAATCTAAAGCGAATCCGAGAGATTCTTATTACAGATAATACTAATGAATTTACTGATAACATTTCTGAGGATGATGAATCAAATTCTGATCCAGATTATTCTTTTTCTGATACTGAATCAGACGACACATCCACTGATGAACGTATTTCGAACGAAGAAGATTCATCTGATGCTCATATTAGCAACGATGATACACAAATAAATGCACAACCTGAATCAATAGAAAAAGGTGGTGTATCGTGGTCAACACAGCGGCCTACAGTTCAAGGTCGTGTACATGCCATCAACATAATGAAGACAAAACCAGGTCCTGTTACTGTAATCCAGACAATGATGGATGCATTCAAGCTTTTCTTGACAGATGAGATCTTAAATGAAGTTGTATTACAAACGAACAAATATGCCAAGTGATACATGGATCAACGAAACCAAAGACAATTGAATGATGCAGCTAGTCAAACAAAATTAAAGAAATGGAAAGAACTTGATCGTACTGAATTAGAAGTCTTCCTTGGTTTGTTAATTCAAGCTGGTGTTGGTCATGCTAGTCACACATCAGTAACTGAATTATGGGATATTAGTAAAAGCCCCCCCAATATATCATGCTACAATGTCATTAGAACGCTTCAAAGATCTCTTACGATTTCTAAGATTCGATGATCGTCAACTGCGTGATAAATTTGATCGTCTTGCACCAATTCGAACCATATTTGAATTTTTTTGTGAAGCAATTACCACAACATTTCATACCAAGTGAGAATCTTACTATTGATGAACAATTAGTACCATTTCGAGGTCGATGTTCATTTGTACAATACATGCCGAAAAAACCCAGTAAATATGGACTTAAATTCTGGGTACTTTGTGATGTTGATAGTAGATATGTATTAGCATTAGAATTATATACTGGAAAAATAGGTAATGTTATCCAACGAAATCTTGCAACAAATGTTGTTTTACGATTGGTAGATCAATTACCTAATAAGGTTAAACAAGGTCGTAATGTTACTTATGATCGATTTTTTTCTGATTTCCACTTGGCCCAAGCTCTGTTGGAACGCAAAATGACCTCACTTGGCGTTGTTAATCATAAACGTTGTTTCATTCCCAATGAATTGAAGGTTATTCGAAACGACTTGTACTCATCTTGGTTTTATTTTGCTGGTCAAACTATGATCTTATCATATCAAGCAAAACAAAAAAAACCACCAGTTATATTATTATCAACATTACATGATTTTCCTGAAATATTGGATGATGAAAAAAAGCTTCCAGCCATGATTCATGATTATAATGAAACAAAAATTGGAGTGGATGTGGTAGATCAATGTATTAATAACCCAGGTCGATCATTCCGGATGTTCGTAACGGCGTCGTAAACGGTATAAAACGGCGCTATTACGGGCCGTAATCCGTCAGCCCGTTTTACGATCCACCGTTTACTGCAGTAAGCGTTCATCGTTTTTACAAGAAACAGCCATCGTTTTTCGCCGTATTTTAGCCGTAAAACGATATGCCGAAAAACGGTCTTCATACAATGTCGTGCAATATTATACAATATTGTTTCTCGCATTATTTTTGTCATCCAATTTTATGGCTAAAATACGGTGAAAAACGATGATCGTTTACTGCACTAAACAGTGAGCCGTAAAACGGGCTGACGGATTACGGCCCGTAACAGCGCTGTTTTTCGCCGTTTTATACCGTTTACGGTCGTGTACGACACCGTTTTCTTTGAACTGGGAATTATACAGCTCGTAGAATAAGTCGAAGATGGTCAATGATGGTCTTTTTCAACATGATCGACATTGCTGCAATAAATGCAATGACAATCTGGTTGTGCCAAAATCCAGAATGGAACAACCGAAAGAAACACATTCGACGTTTATTCTTGGAACAATTGAGCAAATCCTTAACAAATCCTCATAACCAACGTCGTAGTGAACAATCTCATCTTACATCGAAGGTAAAACTCGCGCTTCAATCTCTTGGTTATGAATTGAAACCAGAAATTTCATTAGCTCAAGTTAATACAAATGATGTTATTAAGATAAAAAAAAGATGTTATCTTTGTCCAGTAAATCCTGGTCGCAAAGTTCGACAAAGTTGTGATATATGTCAAAACAATGTTTGTAATTCTCATTCAAGTAGCAGCACAACAGTCATTTGTCAAGAATGTGAAAAAATGATGTAACAACACAGCACTTGATGAACAAATGAAAAAAAAATCACAAGAACAACTAGAATAGTTTAATTGTGGTATTGATTTTATTGTGTTTCATTCATTTAAAGAATAAAAATAAACAAGAAAAACTATTCCTCTGTTTTTTAACGTGCGCGGTTATATATGATGATATTTGTAAAGATATTTATTAGCTTGTGATGTATTCTTATCTTTAGTTTCTTCCCCAATATTTTAACACGTGATGTCATAATCTCTTTTGAAAAAGACATTTTTAAAGTTTGAACATTGTCGTATGCTAGGACTATATGATCCTGTCCATTTGGACAAGAACATAACAATAATGTTCAACTAATCCATATCTAGCGCAAATCGAACAGAAATTTGAGTTTTCCTTACTCATTCATATGCGGGTCCGGTTGGACCCGTAAACATCCTTTGTGTGACAAAATCGAAACAGCGTTCGAGGGTTAATAAATTTCCAAGCGTTCTAATGAACTCACATGGATGGCACTAGATCCTAGAATGTATTATGGTTTTTCTTATTGAAAATTGACTAGAATGAATTGTAAAATCAAAGCATGATAATTACATTGATACTATGAAAGTAAAAAATTTTTTAAATATTATTTTCATGAATTTTATATCGAATACCCGAACAAAATGGCATCGAAGTCGATGAAACAAACAACAGTAGATGATTTTGATATTTATTGATTAAAATGAATATTTTAATCAACTGAATCCAATGAAAATGAAGTTTTATCGGAGTCATCTTATTAGATTAATGAGAATATTGATTTTTGATCAATAAATCAAAAAAAACATAAATTTTTTTCTTGTTTCATCGTTGTAATCCAACTCTGAATATTTCTCAAGTCTCCAGAATTCATTCGGAATATATTTTGAATTATATATAATTATTCTATGAATCTCATAGATTTACTTGCTCTTGTGGGTTCTTCTAGATCCTCATGAATTCACTAGGATCCGTTTTTTTCTCCTTCGGATCATTTTGTCAAAGTATGAAATATTATTGTTTGAATATTTTTTTACTAGATAGAATTTTATCTTTCAGATCTTGACAATTGATGAACATGCATTCATTTTGTGAATCATATCGACTTGAATATTACATTTAAATGAAATAAGAGATCATTGTTTTTAAGACCAAATTATACTATTCTCAATGTTTGTTCAGTAGTATTTTTTTATTGACAGATTATGATGCATTCATTCGTTTATGTTCAATTAATTATTTGGATTCAGTTTCTGATCAAACATTATATATTAATAGTCGATATAAATATTTATAAATTTTTAGGGTGGGTGTGGGTGTGGGTGGGTGGGTGTGGGTGTGGGTGTGAGTGGGGGGGTGGTTGGGGGTGTGGTTGTGGGTGTGGGTGGGGGGGGGTGGGTGTGGGTGGGTGGGTGTGGGTGTGGGTGTGGGTGTGGGTGTGGGTAAAAAGAAGATCTACACCCACACCCACCCACACCCATACTCACACTCACACCCCCACCCACACGCACACCCACACTCACACCCACCCACACCCATACTCACACTCACACCCCCACCCACACCCACACGCACACCCACACTCACACCCACCCACACCCCACACCCACATCCACACCCTTCTGATATCGTTTGGTTGGTTACTTTCCAAAGCCGAATTAGTAAATCGTCTTTCATGGCTAATTTGTGAATGTGTAAGTTCTTGCATTATTCCTATGTCTCTAATGTGGTTAGAACGATTTTCTGTTAGTTCCGAGTATAAAATTGACTATTGTAAAATTTGAAAAATTTCTATCAGATTCTCTTTCTAGCGTAGCCATTATCGAACTGATAACATTGAAATAATTATTTTTCATTTCAGCAAATCTTTATTCGTCTTTTTCGATTGAAAAAAACTTTCGATATAAAATTCGTTGAATGTATGGAATTTTGTTTAATAAATAGTGATACAACTCATTCGATCGTATTGATTTTCATTGTATGCCTATGATCAATTATCGATCATAAGAATGATAGAATCGGTTTCATTGTTTACCTAGAAATCTGCGAAACTGAAACAGATATTTTAAAAATTGATTCAAAAAAAACTCTTTTATAGAAAAAATTGAACTTTTGTCTTTTTCAAATTTTTGTTTTCATTTTGAATAAGCAATTGACTTTTCTCTATTTAGAATATATACAAGTAAAATATTAAATTTAACAGATGAAAATCAGATGTTTGAAAAAAAAACTAGAAAATGTGTGTACACAAACATCTTAATACATGTTCATTGTTTTCCTACTACATTTGTTTTTGTATCATGTTTTATTATCATTACTAACTGTTAGATCTTTATAATTTTCCTCATTTATTGATAATTGTTTACGTAATCGTATCTTTTTAATTTTTTGTACGATCAATTAATGATACATATTTCTATTTAATTTGAAGTACTATTGCTGACAAAAAGTACAACAATGTAGATATGTTTATTTATGTTCTTGTTGATTTACATAATCACAGAAGTAGTAATATTTGTGTTAACTTAAAGTGAAACGTTCACGTAGTGAATCTTCTTGCAAGAACAATACGATAAAATTCGCCCAGAGATAATAAAAGGTGATGAATATCAACGAGCGTTAGAGTTAGAGATACTAATGTCGATGACATCTGTTCTAATAATTCCGACATATAAAGTAACACAAAAACAGAATTACAACAAGTGACAAATATTTATTAATAATGATTAAAAAAGCATGCTAAACATATTTTGACATCAGACAAAATTACTAGACCATATGTAAATAACTTCAGACTGCTAAGAGGTGAAGCAGATAAAGAAGTGACGATTGTTAATTATGTGATGCAGCATGCTTATACTTTCTCCTATTTGATTGATGTATTTATAAAGAGAACACATCTCAATCCGATATTAATTCAGAATAAAAAGTACAGAAATGATATTAATACGGTTGGTATTTGAGAAAATCAAATCGTACTACTATTATGTTAGTTAATATTTATCTTTTTAATAACTGGAAGTTAGAGTCAATTATGCTTGTACAATCACAAGTCTATCATCATTTTCTTTTTCTGCTTAAAAACAATAACAATTCACTGAATTAAATGATCGATAATTGATTATAGACATATGTTGAAAATCGATATGATAGAATGAATTGTTTGACTATTTATTAAACAAAATTCAATACATTGAACGCATTTAATATCGAAGGTTTTTTTGGAATCGAAGAAGATGAATTAAGATTTGTTCAAGTGAAAAGTAATTATTTCAATGTTATCAGTTCGACAAAGATTATACTAACGAAAGAATCTGAGAGAAATGTTTCAAATTGTACAACAATCAACGCAAAAGTCACTTTGATGAACTTCAGATACAATCAGAACTGTAGTATCAATTAGACTTTCAGAATTAGAACTGAAAAAACTCATCCTTGAGGAAGATTTTGACATACTTCCGTTTTCTATTTTTTGATCCTTTTGTCAGAAAAAGAATCTGAAACTATTCATGTATCTCTAGAGCAGTTTTAAATATTCAATCGAGTGGCATGAATCTCATTGAAAATGACTGATATTTAAAAAGATACAATCAAGGAAAGTATATTCTTGCCCCTTGTTGGTCCATATGAAACTTTTGAATTTATGCCGATTTGTGCAGTTTTGGCAATCTAACAGGAGCTATTCAAAACTGAGTTAGAATAAATTCATATCAAATAGAAACAAATATATCCTGATAGAATCTGGGGTCCTTAGGATTTTGTCATGAAAGAAAATTCTGGTTTATAATGAATAATGAAAGGTTTACAATTCATAACAGCTCATGCAAACTCATAAAGAAGTAAAAAAACAGAGCCAAATATCATGGAAGGAAAGGGAATGCGGATTCGTTTGTTTTGATTTATTTTAAAAATAAAACAAACAAATGAAAACTCTTAGATGAATATCTTAGAGTTCAATGTTCATACGTTTGAATTCAACCTTCTTTAGATGAAGATGACTTTTACTGTAAGGTGTTTTGTATAAATTCTCTTTAAATGTCAATGGATTTCTAGGAAACTTCGCGAATCTTTATGATTTATTACAAACTCTTAGGATTTTAGCATTGGTCGTGAGCCGGTATTTTCCTTCTTGCTTGGTCCTGAGTATTCTGAAATGTATCAAAAGTTTATATTTCGTGCTTGCTTCAGATACAATCAATCTACTAAAAAAAGTCAAAAGTTGTCTCTATTCGGAGCTAACAGAAAATAATCCTTACTTGATCAAATGTTGGTGGACTTTTGAAAATCGACAAATGACTTAAACCATTTATTTTTATTCGGAAAGATGCATCTTTACATGTTGTACAACATATCTTAAAATTGTTTTAAGTTCATGTAAAAGAATGTTACGAGAGAATCGAGAACCATAAAAAAAAACGATGTGAAAATGTATTGTATGATTAGGGGGTTCGCTATACTGTAATGACGTTTAGTCCCACTAGCAGAAAGAGAAATATCGAATATAGAATTTTGTAGACCAGACTTTACTGTATTGATTGATACAAGACAGAGTAGTTTTTATCAATTTTCATGTCTAAAAGGTTAATGAAAAAAGTTTTTCAAAAATTCGAACGCTGTGACACACCTATGAACTACTTCACAAAATTTAGACTATCAAATCATTATTGGATATATTTTCAAAATAGTTACTATTTTCTATTATTGTCTGTTTCAGATTATTCAAGGTTTATTCGGTGCTGTCGGTACTGGTGTAAGCTTTTTCCTCAACACAGTTGAAATTGATATACATTAAACAGTTTCATTTTCGGTTGCACGTGATACATTTTATTTATTTTTTCTGGAAATAAAATTACGTCAGATAAAATAGGAAATATTCTCTTTTTCGATCTACTTTTTCCTCATTTCAGATAAAACTCTTCTTCGTTTGTTTTCAATTACTACAACGATATGTCGACAATGAAGTCCGCTCAAGACGAAGAAGTAAGTCATCATC